GACCCCTCCTTGGGTTTCTGAGGCAGTATCACTATGGAAGTAGATTGCCCCATCTTCCTTCCCAGGAGTGACTGGTGGGTTTGAATCACCAGCCTTCTGGTTAGCAGTCAAGTGCCTTAGGCACTATGCTACCAGAGCTCCTTCTGTAAAGCTTATAGCCTAGAAAATCCTAGGGGGCAGTTCTACTCTGTCACATGGGGTCTCTGTAAGTCAGAATTGACTTGACTGCAAACAATAACAAAAATAACAACAATCCTAACTGGTACAAGATGTTAAGGGTTTGGAATTTTTTTTCTAAAGGTTTTAACCAGAAAAGTGATCCAGAAAAGTGATTTGACCAGCTTTTTTTTTTTTTTAAATAATTCTATTTACTATGTCTCGGAAGGAAGATGGGGCGATCTACTTCCGTAGTGATATTGCCTCGGAAACCCAAGGAAGGGTCGCTATGAGTCAGGTCTGACTCGACAGCACATAACAATAACAACAACATTTACTATGTAGACAATGGATTAGCTAGAGATAAGAGTGGATGTAGATAGATCAATCAGGAGATTGGCTATCTAGGATAGCACTGTCAAAGAAAAATGTAATGTATGCCCCATATGTAGTTTACAATTTTTTTAGTAATCACATTATTATTATTATCTTTTAAAGAAACACAGGCCAAATTAATTTTAACAATATATTTATTAACCTAGGTCCAAAATATTATACTTTCAACATGGAATCAATATTGAAAAATTTTAATGAATGTCCTGTTCATATTTTTGTGCTATGTCTTGAAATCCAGTGTGTATTTTAAACTTACAGTTTGGACTGGCTGCATTTTAGGTGCTCAATAGCCACATGTGGCCAGTGGCTAGCACATTGGACAGCTCAGGTTGAGGGGACAGATGGTGCTGTCTAGGACTCAGGTGGTAGCAGAAGAGATGGAAAAAAGTAAACCAATAGGAGTTAGTGATTGGATGGAAGGTGGGAAGAGCAATGAATATTCCCAGGGTAAGCAGTGGGTAGAAAGTGCTGCTTTTTTCGAAGCTGGGGAAGGTAGAAGACGAAAGGTTGTGGGCTCAGTCTTGGGATGAGGATGTGGAGGAATGTTGTGTTACAGAGGAAGATGATTGGGAGCCAACATGGTTTTCAAGGCCTAGGCACCAAAAGTACTCAGTTTTTGTACTGCCTCCATTTGCAATATTTAATTTCATGAGTACATATGAGATGTAGAAATTAAAAACTTTAACAGGGGCCATAATTTCCTCACAAAGGGAAAGCCAAGCCACTTGCCTCAGTGAAGTAACCCTTAAAACCATTTTCACATTGTAAAGAAATTAATACACTTTCACTTCCTCTGATTTTCAGATTGACTGGTCATTTGAAAAACAAATACTTTTCAGATTCTTCCTTCCATTTTTATTTCTATTTCATGTCATCTTTTGCTGTCTATTAGGCATTCATGGGTTAAAGCAGAAGTGTAGAAGAACCTTCTCACCATGATCTCTGTTTTAGCTAAGAGATTAGTAGCTCTAAGTGTTCAATAGGTCAATCTTGTCAAAACTAGGAAGTCAAGGAACCACAGGAATTTCTTTCTGTCATTAATAGAACCAATAACGGAACCCTAGGTGGTTTGATTTGCAGCTGTAGTGGATGGTTGTGGAGGCCATTGCTGTGAGGAGGGTAGCTGGCAAGCAGCCTACAGCTGCAGCACTTTCAGGTTTGCCATAGCAGTCAGTCACACTGAGAGTGCTCTCAGCCAGTGGCTGAACGTAGCAGGATAATGAGAGCTGAGTGGTTCCTGACACAGGACTCAGGTAACACACAATATTTGTAGAGGACTCCTAACTAGCCTGTCCCAAAAGGTTTTCAGAGCTCCACTGCATTCTGGAGCTCTTCCTACCTAACCCTCCTTCCTTTCCCCCCTCCTTTCATAGGTCTCAGATTTGCGTTGTGGTCTGAAGCCTCTCTCTGCCTCATCTTACTTCCCCTCCCTTTTACTTTCACAAACACTTCTGCAATAAATCTCCTACATGACCAATTTTATCTTGGAATCTACATTTTTCTTTTTTTTAAAGCAACAATCATCTAAAAATATTTGTCACCAAATGATAAACAGGCCAAAAAAGAACTCTTTGGGGAGAGAATTAAGACCTAATGGTTGGTCACTCAGGTGCTCCTAGAAAAGTATCATCTACCAAATCCACTTGCAGATGGTTTCGAAAGGAGCTAAAAACAAAACAAACCCCCAAACCAGCTGTCATTGAGTCACTCCTGATTCACGGTGACCCCATGTGTGTCAGAGGGGACCTGTGCTCCACAGAGTTTCCAAGAGCTGATGTTTTGGAAGTCGACAGCCAGGCCTTCATCCTGGGGTGACTCGGGGTGGACTTGACCCTCTAGCTTCTTGGTTAGGAGCTTAGCACGTTAACGATTTGTACCACCCAAGGCCTCCATTCAAAAGACAGAAATAACTGAAGACAGACACCTACCTGACTGTTCAGTCTGATGAAGTAAGAGGACAAGGAAAAGACCCCGTAGCACCAGAAAGCAGCCTGCCATTCTAACTTAGCGAGAAACAGTTCCGTGACTGGAAGAGCACAGCAGGATTCTGCTGGGCAAAGTCTGCAAACAAAGCGAGTCAAAGTTCAAAGCTCAGCTGAGTAGAGCTCACACATCTACAGGGGAACTGTCTTCACAGCCCATTAGCAGTCTCTTCCTAATACAAGAAAGAATGACTGCTTGGAAAATGAGCTAACCCTAAAATATCAATGGGAACAAATTAGTAGATTGAAGCAAAAATGAACTCAAGGGAAAATAAAACAACACAAAACACAACTGTTTTTCATGGGGAGGAGAGAATGTTAACATCAATACTTTTATTGGATAAATCCAGTGTTCTAAACATATGTTTTAAAATACACTGCCATCAAGTCGATTCTAACTCAGCAACCCATAGGGTTTCCAAGACTAAATCTTTGTGGAAGTACATTGTCTCATCTTCCTCCCACAGAGCAGATGGTGTATTTGAACCACCGACCTTCTGGTTAGCAGCCAAATGCCGTACCCACTGCCAATCAGAGCTCCTTAAAACATAGGATTTAGTCCTGTGTTTTCCTGCCTAAGGCAAAGAAAGGAAAGAAAAGGCAGAGAAATGTAAAGTGAAGGCAAAGAAGGTCTTGGTAAGATATTAGGGGAGAAAGAAAGGTGTGCATAATACTTGAGAGTAAAGACACAAGTGATCAAACGCAATCCATCAAGGTAATTGCAGAGAAATGAAGTCATAGAATCAAGCAGAGGGAGAAGATTCATTCCTGCATGCAGTCATTCATTTAAGAAAGCTCAATTAAGCTTCTAGTATGTGCTGTCATTGTTCTGGGTATAGGGATATAGCCATGAACCAGAGAGATACATCACCTGAAACTTACGTTCCAGGGTAGATGGAGGCTGGGGATTCACAGGAAGGAAGGAAAGAAGGAAGGAAGGAGGGAGGGAGGGAGGGAGGGAAAGAGAAAAGAAGGAAGGGAGGGAGGCAGGGAGGAAGGATGGAGGGAGAAAGGGAAAAAGAAATGTCAAATGTGTCACGAAGAAATCAGAGTACATAAGGGATATAGAAAGATGGGGTGTTATTTTAGATAAGATGGTCACAGAAGTTCTCTATTGGAGCAGAAACCTGAATATAAAGACAGAGCAGTATTATTCTGAGGGATGAGCACCCAGACAGAAGCATTGTCAGTACAGAGGCTCTCAGGAAGAGGCATGTTTGAAAACAGCAAGATCAGTGTGACAGGTGGAGAGTCCACAAGGAGGCAGTGGAAGGATATGAGATCAAAGAGAACCAGGACTTAGATCAGTAGATTAGGGTCAGTAAACTTCTCTGTAAAGAGCCAGAAAGTAAATATTTTCAACTTTGTAGGCCAAATAGTCTCTGTAATAACTACTCAGTTCGGCTGTTATAGTTCAAAAAGCACAGCCATAGAGAATAGTAAAGGAATGGGCGTGGCTGCATTCTAATACAAATTTATTGACTAAACTCAGCCAGCCTGTGGAATTTGGCCTCTGGGCTGCAATTTGCTGACCCCTGATGTAGGCCCTTGAAGACTGTAGTAAGAACTTTATATTTTATCTCAAATGTGTTATGCGTTGGGAAGCCATTGGAGAAGAGAGCAAGAAGATAAGATTTGTTTTCTAAAAGAATCATTGTGAATGCTATGTGGAGAATAGAATGTTCCAGGAGAAGCTAGAATGGGTGCTGAGAAATCAGTGGGGAGGTTATTGTAGCAGTCCAGGCAAGAGATAAAGGTGGTAGCTGTAGCATTAGTGAGAAGTGTGGCATTAGGTATCTTGTGAAGGTAAAATGGGTAAGTTTGTGATGAAGTTGATGTGTGGAACAAAGTAGGACTTCAAGTGTTTTTGCCCAAACAGTTGAATGAATAGCAGTACATTTACTGATTTCAGGAGGAGCCAAGGAAGTCAATGGTTTAGAGATATTGATTGTGAGATGTTTGTTAAAAATCCAAGTGGAGATGCTGGAGTTGGCAGATCTATAACTCTGAGGTTAACTTGGAGTTTGGGGGTGATGACAGGTGCAATTATTGTATTATCAGCGTGTAGACTGTCGAATCCATGGAAACTGGCTTTGTGACATCTATTATCTACTTGTATCACACTTGACTGTGACAAAACTTAATGAGGAGATTATAAATATAATTTCATTAAAATGAGAACTGAAAATGACAAGAAAACAAACAAGATTTTAGTAAAGAAGGCATGCTTACTAATATAAATAAAAGTGTGATCTTTTTTTCAAGTTGGAAAAGAAAACAAATTAAAGTTTACTTTTAATTAATGTGTGAGGCCTGAGTCCTAATGGCCTCCAGGTAATTCTTTAACCAGAAGTCTTTAGTGCCAGGGATTCTAACGCATACCATGTCTCAGGGCTTTTATCTCCCCTCCGGATTCCAGTACCTATCAGAGCTTTACCTGGCTCCTGCAAGTCTCCCACGCATCAGGACTTTACATCCTCCCTAGATAATTATTCCCTAACTGGACTTTAGGGCCAGGGATTCCAGCACTTCCCCCCACGTCTCAGAGTTCTGCCATAAACCCCTTAGCAACAACCAATCATCTGTACTCCTTTGCCCTGGTGCTACTCCATCCTATATTTTCCTATAAAAATGTAATAGTAAGAGAGCACAGGGTCTTTTGCCCAAGTCGCTGCGTTGTTGAAAGCAGAGACCCTAGCTCGAGCTAGCAAATAAACTTTCCTTTTGCTTTTGCATTATCGTGTCAGTGGTGGCTTCCTCGCACCAACACTCCTTTCCGAACTCGGGCTCAACAAATAAACCAAAACAATTTAAAACCTGGAAATTAATTTTGTAGAATGAATCTTTGGTGCATTTCACTGAACCCAATAATCTCTTTTTTTACTGGTGGTGGGGGATCTCATTAGCAGATATTAACTACATTTTTTATTAATCCATTAATTATTTTGTGAACAACCTATTATATTGCATTGTCTTTTTGTCTTGATTTCTCCAATAAAGGAAAAAAAAAAAATTCAAACCTGTTGCTGTTGAATTGCTTACAACTCCTGGTGATCTCATGTATTTCAGAGTAGAACTGTGCTCACAAGGTTGTCAGTGGCTGTAATCTTGCCAGGCCTTTCTTCCATGATACCTATGGGTGAGATTTGGAGATCGTGGTTTTCAAATCAGGAAGACTTTTTGAGTAGAGAAGTCATTCAAGAATCTTTTCCTCTTTACCGCATCTATTAAGCTCCAAGGGCCAGCCTTATAAACAGTCTTCAGCTACTCAGAGGTGAATTGTCCACAAAGGAAGGCTTGAAATCACCCTCTACCAACTACTGTTAGACACCTCAGTGGTATTTGCAATTCTCCTTTTAGAACTTGACATTCAGGATTTGGTTATCTTTTTTATTTTTTATATTTTAGTGACTTTATCAGTGTTCTCCCCGCCCCCCCAGAGTGTATTTTAGAACTTTAAATAGCTACAATAATAATATAGTGTGTCAATGTGGAGGGCACTGGTGGCATAGTGGTTAAGTGCTTGGCTGCTAAGTAAAAGGTCATCACTTCAAACCCACTAGCTGCTTCATGGGAGAAAGCTATACCAGTCTGCTTCCATAAAGATTTATGGCCTTGGAAACCCTATGGGGGCAGTTCTATTCGATCCTATAGGGTTTCCGTGAGTTGGAATTGACTGGATGGCAGTGGGGTTTTGGGTTTAATGTCAATGTAGTAAGCTTGATTCTTAGTCCAGACATCATGGTGTAGGAAATTTTCCATTTATTTTATTATTTTTTGACTGCTTTATAGTACATTTTTGGGTGTTATCTTTTTAAACGTTAATTTTCTGATTCTCTGTGGGCTGCTCCTGCTTAAACAAATGTTTGATTCATGTTGTTTATTTTTCTTCTGGAACTTGGGACCTGTGTAGGTGAGCACCCTTGATCTTGGAACAGCTGAACACAGGTGATTCATTCTTAGAGGTACCATTTGGGGTCAGCACAGTCATAAAATCTGTCCAGGAAGGGTATCTGAGACCATAATCTGATTCTGACCTGTCAGCAACGGATAGTGAAATTTTCTTTGGACTGTCAAGTGATCAGAGTTCTAGTTGAGTTTCTGCCACTAAATAGCTGTGACTAAAAGTGATCACTTCTCTGACTCCCATCTCTACAGTCTATGCCACTGTTGATTCATTCATTCAACAAGTAATTATGGGACACTTATTCTGTGCCAAGTCCTGTGTTTAGGCACTAGAATACAGAGGTGAACAAGACTGGCATGGAGCTCCCATTCTAGTGGGAAAGGTTGTGGTAGCAGAAGAATGACAATTGATTGAAAACATTGACAATCTACTGGCTGATACCTTGCCCCCCCCACCAGCTGAGTGTTCAATAGTGCCACCCCTGACCCTTTGTATTCAGTGGTGTGTGCTCCCACTGAGTGAGTGCCACATTTCCACTGCTTCTGTGTTTGGTGGTTATCACATGCACCAGTATTGTGCCACATTTGATTCATATA